AAAAAAAAAAAAAAATATATCCTTCAGAGGGAGGTTGGAGAGAGAGCTCAACTGAAGACCTGAGTTTTATCCCCATGTAAATAAGTCCAGGTGTGCTGTATGCATGCAGCTGTATCCCCAGTGCTAAGGAAGCTGAGAGACAGGCAGATCTAGGGCTCACTGGACAGCCAGTCTAGTCAACTAGTGAGTTCCAAACCAATGAGAGATCCTGTCTGAAAAACCAAGGTGGACTGCCCAGGAGGAACAACACTTGAGGCTAAACTCTGACCTCCACACATAGGCACACACATACACACACACACACACACAAAGTCCTATAAAAAGGCATCATTTTCATTTTTCAAATGGGGAAACTGAGGCTCAGCAATAAGGAGTATGTTACAGGTTATAAAGTCAAAATTTCAGCACAGACCTCTAAAACGAAGCCTGTCATCCTGTACACCCATCTGCTGGCCCCAACGGAGCAGGAAGGGACATGGGAGAGGAACAGGACTGTAACCCAGCCTGATCTTGGTCCTTGCAGAAGTGCACAGAATACTGGCCAGAAGAGCAGGTAGTCCATGACGGCGTGGAGATCACTGTGCAGAAAGTCATCCACACGGAGGACTACCGGCTGAGACTCATCTCCCTCAGGGTGAGGCCTGGACCTAGACAGGAAAGGGCTGACGGGGAGGCTTAGCTAAGACTCCTAACTGAAAACAGTACTGAAAGGCCTACTGTAGGTGACACACCAGCCCACGGCACTCCCAGGACTTACTGGTAAGCAGGGGTCAATAGACTCAGAAACTAAGAGAGCCTCAGCTGCACTTTTCAAACCGTGCTTGTGTGTGCACTGAGCTCTTCCTGTGCACTGAGCTCTTCCTGTGCACTGCCGATCATAGCAGCTCTTCTCCACACCTTCTCAAGGCCAGACTACCTGGGCAAGGAGCCTTCAAGGGCTTCCAGCATTGTCCATATCTTAACTGAGAGTTCCTTATGATTTTGAGTGATGGTAATGTCCCTTCCAATGGAGTGCTAGCTTCATGTGTGATGCACTCAAAATGCCCACCAGCAGAGGGCAGGCACTCCTTGCTACTTTGGGACACACAATCATGGTTACAGGAAATGGCTGGAAAAAGGAAGACACACAAAATATGAGCAACACGAAGCAACTCAGAAGAGTGGGGGAAGGCGTCCTCCAGCCAGAAAGTTGTACTGCTTCTGGGATAAGCAGAAGAGGAGAGACGCTCCTTTGGGCATCAGAAGGTTCTGGTTTGGAGAAGTGATGAGATGTATTTGTGGAAGGTGGAGAACCTGTGATAGCCTAGAAAGGTAGAGAAATTAACTCAAGCACCAGGAAGCTGGTAGCCTATTCAGAAACAGCATGATGCTGATACTAACAGCCATAGGGTTCAGCCACATAAAACAACTCAGGACCTGACATTTGTCTCCTTGAGCTGCCCTGTCTCTCACTGGATGCAATGCTGGGCAAGACGCCAGGGTGCCTTAGCCCCACCCTGTCATGTGGACACTGTCCACATGAGCATCTAACACCAAGACTTCCTGGAAAGCCTGAAGGCCAGGGAGTGAGGGGCAGGCGCTGTGGTCACTGTCACTACAGAGTAACCCAAGGACATGAGGAACCATCTTCCAAGTAAAACGGCTATGAGACAGGCTAAAGAAGAACCAGGGTGTCTTGGTAATTGAGGGTGTTTCCAAGCACCTGCTTTGTGGTTCTGGGTAGGGTACTGGGAGCATAACTGTGTCCTGTTCTCTGCAAGGAGCACCCATAAGATGGAAAACACCAACTAGTAATAGGCAAGAATAGAGAATGGCAGTCTGCTGGATGGCATGCTCAGGGGTGGAGGGTGCATCCTGAAGTGCTGTATGGGGTCCTGGAGGATCGGTAAGGGGTGCCCGGGAGTGGGCAAGTGGGAACGCTTTCCTAGCACGCAGAAGGTACAGCTGTATGGGCAAGCTCACATGTGTGCCCATTTCCTGGACTGTGTCCTCCCAGGGCAGGAAGGATGATGGAGTGAGGAAACTTCCTGGGGTCTCTAATCTGAGGGTATGAATCACGTCTGAAGGAGTGAACTCCTGACCCATCTTCAGATTCTCACACAATGGAAAGGAGGTTTTAACATACAAAGTTGGGGGAGGAAGCCACCGCATTCAGTCTACAGTGAAGAGTTTCCTGGTTTGTTGTGGGATTAGAGATTTAACCCAGGTTCTCACTCACACAAGGCAAGACCTCTCTCACTGAACTACATCCCTAGCCCTGTTTACCGTTTTGAGACAGTCTCACTAAGTTGCTGAGGCTGGCCTGGAACTTGCCCTGCAGACCATGCAGAACTTGAGATTGTGATCTTTCTGCCTTGGGCTTCCACATAGCTATATTTACAGGCCTGAACCATCAGACCGAGCCAACAAAAGGTCTTAAACTCTGAAGTGTCCAGATTTGTACTGGGGAGGGACCATTTTGATGCTACAGGTCTTTGGTAGTCAAGGAGGAGGGAGGTTGGACCTACCTATAGGATGGTAGAGTAGAGGGGAGGGTATGAGGTAATGAGGACAGTGGGGTGGGCAGGCAGAGCACAGTGCCTGTGCTCTCGGTCATGTGACTAAGGGGTACCTGGAACATCAGTCAGGATAAGGAACTTTCCAACAGTAATAAATTAGAGAACAGGCCCTTAGCCTTTCTTGGATGATTTTAGAGTTTAGAAGCCAATGTCACATGCGCGCACACACTGATCTGTCTTGTGCCATTAAGCAATATGGTAGATACAGACTAAGGATCCGTGCTCTCTGTGTTCCTCCCTTTCCTCCCTTCCCATCTCCATCTTTGGATCAACTAGGTCTGAAAGCATTCACATGTATCTGGGGGGTGGGGGGGACTCTCTCTCTCTCCTGGGCAGAGAGGGACTGAAGAGCGAAGCTTGAAGCATTACTGGTTCACATCCTGGCCTGACCAGAAGACCCCAGACCGGGCTCCCCCACTCCTACACCTGGTACGGGAGGTGGAGGAGGCAGCCCAGCAAGAGGGTCCCCATTGTTCTCCAATCATCGTTCACTGCAGGTGGGTTCTCCTGGCCACCCACTGGGGCAGGGCCACTCCATCCCCAGGCTGCTCTGTCCCTCACCCCATCATCCCCTTGGCCCTCAGTGCAGGGATTGGGAGAACTGGCTGCTTCATCGCCACCAGCATCTGCTGCCAGCAGCTGCAACGTGAGGGCGTGGTGGACATCCTAAAGACCACGTGCCAGCTCCGTCAGGACAGGTCAGTCCACTGATCAGGGGAAGAGAGGGTGGCTGTATAATGTGTGCATGAATCAAGGGACAGTTGACAAACCAGACATAGTGTGTAAGGCGGATGGGGAGGAGAAAAACCAAATGGGAGAGAGGAATCCAGTCAGCTCTCTTCTGGAGGAAGGCAGAGAGAGGCAGCAGGTGGGAAGGACAGAGGCTGAAAACAAAGGTGTATCCCTGAAAGGAAGGGGCAGAGGACCATGGCTGGGGAGAGTTTGTCTCTCTAAGCTGCAGACAAGCTGGTGCCCCTAGTTTTTGGGGAACCCCACCCACAGCCTTCTGCATCTCTACTGGGCAGGGGTGGCATGATCCAGACATGCGAACAGTACCAGTTTGTGCACCATGCCATGAGCCTCTATGAGAAGCAGCTGTCCCTCCAGTCCTCAGAATGACCACACTCTTCCTCTGAGATCCACTGGGCACTGCCAAGCCTGAAGCTGGGCCTTCACCCCAACTACCCAAGATCTTGCCTTGGGTCCTGGGCCTGTTTGGTGGCCCTCCCCCTCATTCCTCCCTCTCTTCAGTCTGTTCCTCATCTATTGTCCTGGCCTGGTCCCTACCCCAAGCCTAGCTCTTCTACTGTATACACTGCAGAGTTGGGGATGGCAGGGGAGGAATGTGCCAGGCCAGGCCTGGGGTCCCTGGGCCTAACCCACACTATATAGACCTGGGGCCTCAGTTTTAACCATGGTTCCACAGCTACTTGGTCCAAAAATGTTTCCATGCCACACCCCAAGTGTCCTACCACAATGTGTTCTGTCTGTCCATCCATCACAGCTATCTGTACCAAACACTGTGTCCCCTCAGTCAGGAAAGGAGCACTAAACTGATCTCTCACCCCTCAGCCCTCACGCACCCAGACTCTCACCCTGCTCCCCAGGCAGAGGTACTTACCTGCCTCTGGCCCCGCTGGCTCCCCTGAAAATGCAGACTGCGTTTGGCCACTAGGATGCAGATGGCAGATACCAGGCAGAGGAGCATGTGATGGTTGACAGAGAGATCCCTGCTAAGAAGGTTCCTGGGCAAGGACAGGCATCTCCAGCCTATGAGGCACTGGAGAGGAAGAGGACAGATGAAGTGGGGAACCCCAAAGATCTGAGCCCTGAGGGGGGCCTCCAAGAATGGGATGGGGACAGCTCCAGACCTGCGAGACATCTTTCTGTGCCACTATGGGAAACCACAAGTGTCTCGCTACATGTCGCTCTGTGTGTGTTCCCTTATCCATGTGTGTGTCCAGAGCCCATGAGCAGGGCATGCATGACTCTTCGGCAACATGTATTATCTTGGAGCCACGTGTTTTTATTGCTGACTTTAAATATTTATTCCACGGCAAACAGAGGCATTTGGTGTCTTTTTATAATCCGCTCGTGGTCATTGAATAGAGCAATAAACAGAGCATTTTGAGCAAAACTAGCCTCCTGGGTCTGTCATTTCCTGCTCTCTCCTTACACCTGAGGCTTTTGTGTGACACACACACACACACACACACAAAACCTTCCCAGCCCATGTGCATAAAGTTGGCCCTCATGCTCACTGGCGCCCCCTGTGGAGGTTGGAAATACACATGAAGCTGGATTTGAAAAACCAGTCTAGTAACACCTCAGGATTCCCACTTGCCTTCAGTCCACAGGGGTCCACTACACTGTAAGGAACCTCAAAGATGGGTATGGGACGCTTCCAGGAAGTCAAAGGAACTAACAGGTCAACAGGGGCAACAGGTGAGCCAGGGAGGCCAAGGGTGGGACAAGGGGACACTCCCATCACACCCAGGCCCCTCTCTCATTAGATAGCATGCTCCTTTTCTCTGAAACCCCACCAGGCCTTCAGACACTCTTATTTTGTTCATTATTGTCTGTGGTATACCCTCCATGGTTGAATCTTTTAAGGTCCTGCTGGCCGGTCAGCAGCCCTGCCCCGGGGTGACAGCAGTGGCTTGCAGCTACCCTTGCTTCATCCTAGGGGCATAAGAACAATGGAGACGTGTCCCAGGTGGCTTCTGATCCAGTTCCCTAGGGCCCCTTGCAGGGGAGGAGCTGCTCTCAGCCCAGGCCTTACAAGAGAAACTGCTGGTTTGCAGATACTATAGGGACCCAGGGGCTAACATGACACAAATGAACTGGTCAATAGGTCCGAGGCAGGGATGCCAGCTCAGGGAGATCTCCCACCCAGAGGATGAGCCCTTCTATCCAGATTTCAGAGTGAGGAGTAGGAAGAAGGAGGGTTAATGTCATCTCTTGCCCCATAAGGCCACAGATCGCAGAACAAATGGCACTCCCAGGATTTGTGCCAGGCGGTACATCCACCAGACTCATCCAGTGCACCTCTTCCCAGTATTGGGGAGACAAAGGTCTTTGGTCTTTTTCCCAACCCTGTTAGGCTGTGTGCACTATCATGCCCGAGTGTGGACAGGCACGTATTCCACCCTAAGCCCCTCAGCTTGGAGAGGTCCCACCCTACAGCAGTGAGAATCAGGGCCTCTTCCATAAGGCTCAGGAAGTGTACTGCTTGCTGCCACCTCAGCGTCCCTCAGGCCTGATCCCCAGCATTCTGTCCATTCCTGGGTCCAGCTTGCTCCCCTCCCCTAATTCCAACTGCCAAGCTGTGTGCCCTGCACCTGAGATAAGAGCCTAAGAAAAAGGATCCCCCAATCTTATACACAGCACCTAAGGGTCTGGCGATGACCAGTGCCCGCTATCGGAACAAAGAAGGAAGAGACTGGCTATCCTCCTTCAGCAGAGTAGCTGAGCCTCCAAGCCACAGGCACTGTCATTCAAGGTTTAGAAGGCCCAGGTTTGTACAGAAGCTAAGGCTTCCTGCCATTTCCCCTGGAAAAAGCCAGAAACTGGTACTTTCTATACAAGAAGGGGATATGGTCTGAGGCAGAATAAATGGTCTCGGAACCCAGAGATAGAAGTAACCCAGGCGAAGATACGTAAGGGAGAAACTGGGAGTTAGTTTCAAAGCACCTGCTCAGGAGAAGGCTTAAAGTTACTTGGAGGTCACTGGGACAAAGCAGGGCTGGAGGAACAAGAAGCTCAGATTCTTTCCTAGGTGACAAATTTGGGTAAGTGATTTCAATCAGACATGTTTCCTCATATGCAAAACAGGTTCTTAAAAACCACCACGCAGGTTAACTAAGAGGCAGGTGCACCCACTCCCTGTAACACCTGGGCAGTCATCAAGAACAAAGAAAAGTCTTGTAAACTGTCATACAGAGATCCCCAAGACGCAGAGAGAAATCAGGGGCAGAACTGTGTGTCTGATGGGTCTCCTGACATGTACAATGGGAAGGCCACATACACATACATATGCATGTCTGCATGGAAGAGATCCAGAGGAAATCCCAGATTGCATGCATGCAGGTCTGTATCTGAGGGCCTGAGAGGTGGGAAGGAGATGTTTGTGGCACTTTATGTTTTAAATATATTAAACTACTGGTTCAAAAAAGTACACGGAAGAAAAGCTAAGGCTCTGCTTTGTCCTGAGTCAAACGGCAGCAGAGCAGTGGAAACAGTCGCCCACCTCACCGTTCCAAATACCACCAGTCCTCAGGACCCAGGAACGAGCTAATCAGCTCCCTTGCAAGGCCTACTCCAGAACTACATAGTCAGAAATCTCCCCTTTGGCCTGACTTCCTTTCCTTCTGAGGAAACATCCAGCACTGCCTTCCTCACCCACGTACCTCTAACAGGTACCCCAGTCCCTGTGTGCCCTATTCAGTTGGGCAAGCTTAAGTCCCTCATTCTCCCTCTCCAGGAACCTGGGATTGTTTGTGTTGTTGGATGTGGAACAACTCACTAGTTCTTGTAACCAGTCAGGGAAGCAGAAATGGACAGTAAAGAAAAGAGGCCAGAGAGAAGAAGTTTGTTGCCTGACTGTTCTTCTCGATGCATTACTATCTCCCTTTGTGTCCACAGACACAGCACATGTGTGAGCATGTGTGCGTGTGTACACACACACATAAGGACGCACACACAAACACGCCACCTCTGAATATCCCTCCTACTCCCTTATCTTCAGTGGCCTCATCCTCTCCCTGGTCCACACAGGTGAGTGCCCAAACCTGCTGTCACCATGACGACCACTCAACACCAGCAGATGGTATAGGAATATGTGTCCATGGAGTTCTCCAGCTCCACCACCCACATGGAGACCTTCTCCCAGACAACCAAGACTGTGGGAGGCAAGTGGAATGGGTGAGGGAATATGAGGGGGGAGGTCTTCCTCTATACCCACTCATGGGTAGCCTGAGTGTTTGCCAGGAGTTGGTCCTACAGGAGCCCCCATACCAGCAGCAACCTCCTCTGCTCTGATCCAAGGCTGGATCTGGATGGTCAGCACAGATCAAATCTCTGGGGAAACAGACTAGGAAAAACATGAATCCCACAGATGTGTGTGAAGGGTTGACAAACTCTTCAGTTGCTTAAGACTTTCAGAGCCAGGTGCAAACAGATTGCGTGAATGTCACACTTGCAGGAAGGTAGATACCTTATCTACATGTAGGAATGCTAATCCTGGTCCACTTAAGAAATGGTAGACCCAGCCACCAGCAGAGGCAAGGAAAGAGCATAAAAGCCCTAAGTGATCTTAGTTTAATCCTTGGGGGCTGGACTAGAAGGAGAGAACACCAAAGGAAAGCTGAGAACAGGTCTCAGGGCAAGTCTGTTCCAGCTGTGTCTCTGGTACAAGTGGTTAAAAGATGGCTGGTAGCCAGGGTAGTGAGTAGCCTTCCTCATAGCCATTGCATCTACCTTCAAGGTCCCAGAAGAACAGAGGCTAAGTCCTCTGTGTACAAGGTCATGAGATAAACACCATTATCACTCTGGCCACTAAGAAAGAACCTTGAAGTAAGGACTCAAGGTCTTAGATCTAAACTAGAAATTGCAAAATGGTTTCTTCTCATGACTCTCAGCCCTAGCTGTGAATTAGAGCCATCTCAGCATAGGGGTGGAGCTGGAAAAACTAACCATGCCCAAGTCTCTCCCCAGACCATTAAATCGGGAATGTTTTTAAGCTCCTCGGGGATTCTGGTGTGCAGCCAGGGCTGAAAGGACTGACCAGCAGAGTTCAGGCAGGAAATGGGGAAACACATGTGGAGGAGAGAGTAGGGGACACTGGAGAGAACTCCTTTCTAAGGAGACAGTTGTGGTTCATCTCCCACTAACTAGCAACTGAAATTCACATGTGACATCGTTCCTTTTCCATGGACGGCTACTTTTTGTTTATACATTGTGGAGGTCAAATAAAAGACATCTGCAGGCAAAGTGCAGCCTCACCATGGCCTGTTTAAGACTTCTGGTTGCTATTTAAAATCAAGGCATGAGAGTGTCTTAAAATGTTTTCTATCTCAGTCCTTCATAGGAATACAGATAGCAAAAGCACCTACTTCACTGGGCTGCCCTGAGGATTAAAAAAATCACCTCTAATATGTGCCCCACATGGCTCTCGACACAGGGGAAAGGCTTCATAACACTAGCAACTGTTATTCATTGATAACTAATCACCCGTGAAGATCTTCTGTAGTTTACACTGCAGTGATAGAGCACTGAGCTAGAGCATGCAAGGCCCTGGGTTCACTCCACAGCACTGCAAGGAAACAAAACAAGAAGGGGATCTGGGAAGTAAGGTGATGCTCTTCCCGTTATGGGAGTCTAGAGACAGCGCCTCAGGGTTGGCAATGTGTCCTGTCTCTCACCCAAGTATCACTACTGCCAAGAAAACTAATACTGAACCCATAGACGGGCGGAGAAATCTAGAACAGAGTCAGCTAAGTTACAGCCCTCCCAAGAAGGAGCAGGCCCAACACCTTATATTAAGGGGACCAGAACTTCCAGGAGAGAAATCCAAGAGACAGACAGACAGATGCAGACTGACAGACAGACAGGCAGGCAGGCAGACAGGCAGGCAGGCAGGCAAGCAGACAGACCTCTTCAAAAGTCTCCTTTTATATATCTGTATGAGACCCTATAAGTGGTCCTTGACCATTGAGTGGTGGAGAGGTTTTAGTGCCCCCTAGTGGCTAAAATTTGATAGAATTTGATGACTATCATCTCTGATGTAAGCTTCTCTCAGTCACAGATGGCTTCCCGTCCTCTGTCACTGCCCTTCTTTTCTATGTTCCGCCCACTCAAGCAAACATGAGTCCTCAATCCCTGCCTGAACTCCCCCACCTGGAGGCTTCCTGATTTTTCTCTTGGCCCACAGAAAGTTGTGAAAGGACACAGCAGCACAGTATGATTATCTGTTTGAGCCCCTGAGTTCCAGCACCCTACCTGGAGACATGTCTCTGAGTTCATGAGAAACTCTGAGGGTGTGTCTTCCCTGTGACTCCCCTATTCCTTTTTCTTCTCCAGCCCCTTCCCCAATGCCCCCCAGTACACAAGCTGGGTATTGTGTCCCTCCATACTCCAGGCTGGACCCAGATCCCCAGGCGGAGACAAAGCATGTCAGTGCTTCCAATATACAGGCTGTGGAGTAAAGCACATCCACCATAGGAAATAAAGCAGTATCCAGAACCCTGGTGCAGGGAACCCCCAAGCCCAACATATCCTGGAAGAAGGAAATAGGGAACTACTAAGATCTTCTATAACAAAATCAACAAGGAACACATGCTAATGGTGAGGCTAGACCCCAAGGACGTAGAGGCCTAGACACCCCCCAACCATCACACACTCCAGCTGACCCCCTGCTAGGGCAGGCTGCAGGCCTCAGAGAGCCACCATGGCAACCCAAAATCAGTGGTGGGGAAAGGGACACTTGCATGGTGGGAGGGGCCTTGGGGGCTGAGGTTTTGCCAGAGCAAGGAGGGGCCCAAAATTATCTTCAGGGCAAGGTAATAGTGGGCAAAGCCCCGGGCAGGGATACAGCCAGATGGAAGGGAAGCATGGAGTCCAGTAGACAAAGGAAAAGGTGTAGCTGGTCAAAACAAGGACTCGGTGGATGGCAACAGAGTGAGTACAGCAAAGAGAGGTCATAGTGCATGGAGGGACACCGAGCTGAGGGACACAGGGACCCAGTAAGAGACTGGTCATAGGGCAAGGGCTGGAGATCCTGGACTCTCCAGAAAAGGCTTGTCAAGGACCTAGCGTGCTTCAGGTATCCACCTTCTGGGTCGCTTTCAGAGAATTGCTGCCCAGCTGCAATTCTGACTTCCAGAGGCTGATGAAAGGGAGAGACGGGTCACTGGGAGAGCCTATAATTTCTAAGGCCTTTTTCCCCTCCCCACTGTAAAAGTACAGTTCTGCCTCCCTCCACCAACAGAAGTCAGTTTCTTTTCCCACAGCCCCATCTTTGGATCTTCTGCCCACACACAAGCTTCCCCAGAGTCACCTCTTACAAACGCCCTGCCATTCAACAAGCTCTCTGAAAGCCTGTGAGCGCCACGCAGACCAGAAGCAAACCAAACTTACTCACTCCTGTTTCCTCTAGGCCAGTGTCTCGATGAATATATAAATTGCATTAGATGAAATATTCATCTCACTTCAGGAAAATGGAATATGAAGTCCAACTCAGGAGATCCATGCCCTTTAGGAGCTCATAGGGAGGGTGTGATGTGGAAGCTACTGCTGCTGCTGCTATAGACTCAGCCTCTACACACCCGTGCCCACACTGATTGCCCAGTTTTTCACACATAACCTCAACACACACCCAAAAAAAAACCTCTTTTTTTTTCCTTCTACTAGAAAATCTGTGCCACCACCCCTCACCCTCTAATGGTGTAACTCTGATCCACCTAAAGTGGCTGATCTCAGGTGACTCAGACAACTACAGGTACATTACAAACAATGAGCACACAGATGCCATTACACCATCTGTGCTGGTAACAGAGGCTGGGCCTGTCATCTCCTCCTCCTCCTCCTCCTCCTCCTCCTCCTCCTCCTCCTCCTCCCTTCCTCTTCCTCCTCCTCCTCTTCTTCATCCTCCTCCTCCTGGATTTTTCTCCTTGGGAACTAGATATCTGTCAGATTATGCCCTCTTTCTGTCCTCAGGTCATGAAAAACTAGATCAAGAAGCTGTTAAAAAAGAAGGGAGGTGGGGGGAAGTCCCCTGCCTAAGATGCAGTCTCCCAATCCAGCTGAAGCATTCCAAAGGCTTTGTCACAAAAGTTCTGAGTTCAAAGCCCACAGAAAGTGGAAGGTTATCTCAAGGTCGGTACAGAGGGAAACAGTGAGTAACAATCTCAGTCCCCCTCTAACAATCTAGGGTTTCCCTGAGCCCAGAGAAGGAGGAGGGAGAGGAGGAGGAGGAGGAGGAGGAGGAGGAGGAGGAGGAGGAGGAGGAGATGACAAATGAAAAAGAGATGCCAATGATTTGGGCCGAGGTACCCAATAAGGACTTCACAAAGGTCTGTATGGACTATGGTTTCCCTGACTTGGGAGAGCTGCTCAAGAAGCTCAAAATGATAAAGAGGAAGTGGAGAGATAGGGGGGTCAGTGCCCAAGATGGAACAGCAACCTGGGGATCAGCCCTAGGCTTCTCCCCTGCCCTGCAGACATACACACACAGACACACACACAGACACACAGACACACACACACAGACACACAGACAGACAGACAGACACACACACACACAGACACACACACACACACAGACACACACACAGACACACACAGGCACACACACACACACACACACACACACACACACACACCAAGCTGTGTACCATAAATGCAGCAAGAGAACCTAGCATCTTCCTACCTTTACTCACTTCATGTCCCAAGTTGCATGCATGTGAACTTAGACAGACCTAGGTTCAAATCCCACTTCTGCTGTCTTGAGTTTCAGTTTCTACATCAGCAAAAACTATACCTCTCTCACACATTTATTTTTCTATTGTTGTTGTTATTTGCTCAGTCAACAAAGTCTTGTTAAGCACTGACCACATAATTATAGAGTCTGTGTCCTGGGCCCAGACACATAATGACTGCTCTGTGAATGGTGGCTCCCTCTTCATCCCCAACAACCTTCCGGTGAATCATCCTCCTCATCCTCTTCTGTCTTCCAGTTAATCAATTCCTTTAGTAGGATAGGAGGTATTGAGCTTAGTCTGTTAAGGGGTTTCCTCCAGGATTCTGGGCACAACTAGACAGAGTCCAAATGCCTCTGATCCTTATATTTTGATGAACCAATCTCTCAGGTCATTAGAATCCTGAAGCCACTAGAAGATGTAGAAACCAAGATGACACCACCAGTGTCTTCACCTGCATCACAGAGCTGAAGGACCCCATCCTGAATAATACAAGTCAAGGTGGGAAGCACCTAACCACGGACCACCCTGGCCCTACCATGGCTTCTGCCTCATCTGTCTTTTCAGACCCTCTCAATCTATAAGCCAGATACTCTCTTGTAGCCAATCAAGAGGATACCTTCTGATACCACTGAAAGATGCTGATTCCTAGACTTTGTTTCTGGTCATTCTGCCATTTTTGTTTTGATCTGAAATTGTCACTGTCCTCTTCCAATGCCTTTGTCTACCCACCTTTGAACAGAACACCTGAATTAAATAACCCTGAAGTAACCAAACTTCCGCTCCTAGGAAGAAGCATCTAACAGGTTCATATGGATTATGATCCTTACAGGAAGACAAAAACTTTGGGTCTCACCAGGCTGGATGAGGAAGCTAGAGAGATTTATGGGGCCTGGGTATGTTTAGAGAAATGTGCATATACCCTTCAGAGTCAATCATGCTGGCTCTGGGGAACAGGGATCTCAGATGTCTCTTCCTAAACCCCTTCATTGCCTTCCCCTCTTCCTGTTCTCAGAGGCAGGACACTGAGCCTTTCAGGATCCAGTAAAATACAGACTGCCTTGTTCTGAGCACTAAGTTCATGTCACAACCACACTGAATGGACCAGACGTGGATGTGCATGGGTTTGATAGAAAGTCAATACTTCAGCATTGTAAATGCTTTAAACATTGGCTTGGATATGCTAACAGGGTAAATCATCAGAAAACACAAAATACTCTTACTTTATAGTAATGAAGAAGAATGGGCCATCATTTATGAATGTAAGAATTATTATAGAATAATATTATTAATGATTGTGACAACAAACTGAAGAAGATATTTGCTATCTGTAGCCATGAGTTTGGGCTACACAGCTTTGGGTCGAGTGCTTCCAGCCACCCACCCAGGAACTCTTTGGAACCATGAATAGAACACACACACCAGTTAGTTTAAAATGCCTTGGCCAACTCAAAGGCTGGGAACTCCTAAATCTTCGCTGCTACCCCTGACCCAGCTGGGGAAGTGGCCAATGACCACCCACCCAAATTCTCACATAGCTGGTTGACTTTCTCTCCTGAAGCTCCTACATCCCATCCTTCCCCCTCACCCCCAGTCATGTGATTATCTGTCTCCTTTTTCCCAGTTCCTAGCCCGCACAAATCTAAAGGTCCCACCCTGTCTCTTTATGCCCAGCCATTGGTCACTGGCATCTTTATTGATCAATCAAAAACCAACTGGGGACAAGGACCTTCAGCATTTGGACATGCAGATTCCCGATTAAATCAAAGCATTTAAACTAATCCCCAACAGTTATCTATGATAACTTGATCTATGATAAAGTTTGATGTTATTAGTAATATAATGTTCATAAATAATTTTTAATAGAAAATAAGGGCTGGTGAGATGGCTCAGTGGGTACAAAGCTGATGGTCTGGTAAAGATTTTACCAGAAGGGTTACCAGATTTCTTCCATGTTCTAGGTCTATACAAACTCAAGGCTAAAATTACTCAATGAGGTAAACATTTAATCCTAAAATTAAATACTATATCTCGAATCTCTGATAAGTCAGAGATAAGCCTACAGTTACAGTCACCTCAGGAGGTAGATGGGAACCAAGTACATGCTGGTTATTACTAACATAAACCTGACCAGGACCAGTACCTAAGGCCTGACTGTGGGAGATAAGTGGATAAGCACCATGGCAATTTGAGAATGAAAATGGCCCCCAGGCTCATATATTTGGTAGAACTGTTTGGGAAGGATTAGAAGGTGTGGTCTTATTGGAGGTGTAACACCGGGAATAAAGGTTTCAAAGGCCCATGCTATTACCAGTAAGTTCTCTCTGCCTTGTAATTGTGTCTCAAGATGTGAGGTCTCAGCTACTGTGCCCATCTTATACCTGACAGCCTGATGCCATGCTGCCTGCCATGATACTTATGGTCACTAACCCTCTGAAGCTGTAAGCCCCAAATAAGCACTTTCTTTTATAAGCAATAGAAAATTAACCAAGATAAATGCATAGTCTGCCATGCTAGATATGAAAGTAGGCATCAAGGCCCAAAAGGCCTGTCGGGTTCAGAACAAGAAAATGGCCTTGAGGGGGTCTATGGCTATATTAGAGAGAGGATTGTGATCAAGGCAGGAAAGGATTATATGGGGATTGGAGTTAGTACAAAAAGGAAACATGAGATATACAGTATAGATATTCCTTAGAGACTGTGAAGTAATGTCATGGGACAGTGTAGCATAGTGGTTAAGACAGTCCATAGTGGTGGACAGACTCTGAAGCTAGACGACTGGGGTTCAAGTCCCAGCTTCTGCTACTTATTGGATGTGCGATTTAGGGCAACTTGCTTTAACTTCTTTGCCCTAGTTTGTCTGTAAATTGGGGAATCATCATAGAACATACCTATGAGAATTAGATTAAATATTAGCTATAATAATGCCTATCAGATCTCTAATACTACATAAATGTTTTTTAACTGATATTAATATTGCTGGAGGGGAGACTATGTAAATATCATAAGACGGGACTCCAGAGCAGATGGTGACTAGCAAATAGAACAAAAGGAAGAGTGCTTCCCCATCTGTAGGCCACAGAAGGTCAATGACCCCTGAACTCCATCTCCCTGCTCCCTGCTGCAGATGAGCCACTGAAGTTCATGGAAGAAGTGAAACTGGTAGCAGTGACCATGGCAGACAGCTGTGTTTGAGATCTACTCCTCCAAGGAAGAGAATGACTCTGTGTGAAAGTTCAACAGGAAGGAGCTGAAGAGGGGTAACAAGTATGAGATCTCAGACCGTCTAAGGATGGTCTGACTCACACAGTTAAGATCAAAGATGCCAGACTCAGCAACATGTGGGTTTTCTGCCCAGGCAGGAACCTGGTACAGAAGGGTCATCTCACTGTCCATTGCAAGTGGTTCAGTGAGAGCTAGACAGATGGAATTCTTGTCATGGCAATCCCCATATATCCATCCATCCATCCATCCATCCATCCATCCATCCATCCATCTGCTCTTGACAAGACTCTGTGATGGGTACTGAAAAGAGAAGGCTCTTCTAGTGGAGGAGGCAGATGTGAAAGTAAAATTATAATAGTTACTAACCCAGAGTCAACACACACTGGGGTCATATTATCAGCTAAGTAATCATGGACTGAAAACTTACTAGCTCTTAGCTGTGAGACTTTCCCTGTGGAGATATGAATCCCCATCTGTTCTCCCCAAGATTGTCAGATTGCACTGACAATAGCCCAAAGACTATTCCACCAAGTCTAGCCTGGTGGACCAATGAGTTTATTGGAGTTACTTTCACTTGCATGAGTTGGGGGTTGCAGGAGTATGGATGTCTTGAAAGCAACTGCATCCCCAAAGCCCTTCCTCAGAGTGGGTGACAACTCACAAAATCTTCCTCACTGGAGCTTCCTGCTCAGTGTTCAGCCTCCTCTGCCTACCTATGGTTTACTGCTAACATAGCTGTGGGGAGGGGCCTTGCAAACCTCTGTTTCCCGAGAGTTGCAAGTTTTCTTAGCTTCAGGTGTCTTATGAGCCTCTATTCCCTCCTGGAGGGAATGTGTCAGTTCAGGAAATAGCTATATAACAGCTTTATAGTTCCCACGTCACATATTCCGTCAGTTGGACATGTTCCCACATAAGCAGTTGTTGCATATGTGTGTGATGGTGAGATGCCACACATGTGAACCACACCTGCAATCTGCCCTATGAACCCATCATTGCTGTGATGGAGGGAGGCATAGCAGCTGTGGAGAGCCAAAGGAAGACAATGTCACCAAGCCCCAAGATTATCCAGAAGAACAACAGGCAGTAAGTAACAGCCTGAACAAAAGCCCAGACATCAGAGAGACAAGGCAGGGAGGGCATTAAGACTTCTGACTGTAAAGATATAAAAGTTGTTGTCCACATTCACATATTAGCAAACAGACTAGATGGGTGAGTGAGTTGTGTAAAGCCAACGCTCTCTCTGCCATGCACTTCCACAGGTCATATACCGCACACAAATACTAGTGCCTCGAGTTCTTGTGATTTCTAGGGTCAGAAAAAGAGGAGCCTACAGAACTGTGGGAAAGTGTGTGGTGATTTGGGAGAATGCTAAAAATTAGTCTGTCTATGGGCCTTCCCTTTAAATCTATAATCAGTTTCAAAATGCATGTGTAAAAGAGAGGGGCCACTCACACCTTGAATGTGAGCTGGTGTCTAAGGATGTGTCACTACCCTCAGAGAAAGATGAGTGACCACTGTCGCATAGCCTCAAGTACAGTGTGAGCCACAAAGGCAAGCAAACTGAGTGTGTCATTAATGATGTACAGAGCAGAGATGGTGGGAAATACACCACAGTGGCCATGGAGGATGGGGACCCCACTGAATACTGCAGTACTGCACCCTCACTGTGGAAGGTACACATTCTCTCTGCTGACCCAAACTGACCAAACTGTTTGACCCCAGCATACCCTCACTAGAATGTTTGTTGGCTTTATAACCAGAAGCCAATTACCTAATATCTTAAGTGGCCTCTCTAAGCCTGTTTCCCACCAGGAACAGAGTAGAGATTTTACCCTAGCATCTTCTTCGAATACCTTTCAAATGCATAGCCAAGCGCACAGTACACGACACATCTTGCAGTAGTCACTTGAGTGTTACCAAACAGTGAGGATGCGAGTGGTAGCAAGGAGATGAGGTGAAAGAGAGGTGGGACTGAGAGGTAGAGGTGAGGTTGAAAGAGCACTGAGGTGGGAAGTAAAATGGGATGCAGAGGAGGCCGAAGGGGAGGGATAAAGTGAGAATGCGAAGCTGGAGTTGGGGTAGGAAAGGGAGTTTAGATTGGTTTGAACGTGATAAAGAGCTGGCCTTGTGACCTTCAACGTCCATCAAACACACACGGGCACGCATGTGCGCGCACACACACATACCATCTTGCCACAAAACTGGGGCCTGGGAAGGTTTGGAATTTCATTTATCACCCCTGTGTCCTTGGTACTGAGGGCACATAGATGCAGAATGCCTAAAAGGGTAAAACTAGTAGACAGATAAGTAGCTGTAACCCAAGGTCGACGGTAACACTAGAAAGCATAATTATTCTGGAACCTCCAAAAGGGGACAGAACTTACCTTGGATGGGCTTTTGGTACGGGTAGCAGCTAAACATGGTTTTTCAGGGGCTGCAGAGCAGCCATTTCTAAGTAGGCTCAGAGAGGCAAGGATCAAACTCTCTGAGCACATCTTAGGAGTGCTGGGTACAAAACAAGTGAGGGATCCAGAAAACTCAGAGCCCTGTGATGTCCCAGGCCAGCCAGACCTCTGGTCAATGAGAAGCCCTTCTGACCCTTTGCCTCAAAGCCCCATTTGTGAAGCTGTTGTCTGTCTCGAGACCATCTGAAGCCTCCCAAGGCTGAGTGTAGTTCCTGGGGCTCTTGGGTAACTGTGTAAATGAAACAGAAGGCCCACCTGTGAAACTGGTCATAGTAGGATGAATGGCTGTTGGCAAGAAGTACTAGATTAGACAGCAGAGATGGGTGACGAAGTCAAGCTTCACCACCAAGGCAGAAGAGGGAAAGCTTACACGTGCTGTATTCTGGTGATCAGTTCAGAGGGTGGTGGTGACCGACCTGAGACTGAGAAGCCTTTCCTCATAATCCCATAGAGAGACACTGCCTAGTGTTAAGAGGCACACCTATGTATCAGGATGGGGCCCTCTGGACACTGAGGTATGCTGATCTTTGAAGTACACCCAGGCTCATCCACTAACCACCCTGTAGGACATGCTGGTTGCAGGTGAAGAGCAAATATTACAAGAATCAACCCCGCTTCTTTCTTCATTCCAGAAATCATTTAGAAGCTGAGGGCATACAACACTAACTTACAGATAAGCTTCAGATCACTTTCATTTTTTCCCAAAGAACCCCTTGGTAGTGTCGGTATTTTAATTATGATTGCTAATTAATTACTAGCTGCACCCCTCCCAAATGATTTCCAGATGTCAGTGTGCCAAGGCTGAGAACTGTGGCACCGTTTCAGGAGCTAGAGGACTTGTATTGCCTGCATCTTACACAGTAAAACCATCTGCATGTTAGTAAACATCCATGCCTGCCCTCTACCCCAGGAGAACTCAATTAGGGTATTGGGAATTAGGACCCAAATACTAATTTGTTGATGGTGGGATTCCACATATTTCCTATTTAATGTTTGACCAGAGTTAACAATCATTGGTTTAAGGTGTTTTAAACAGGGGCAGAAATCAGTATGGATTGTGGAACTAAATATATATGCTCCCCTTCCCAGACTTTCCCCTCTCTGTTACCCATAGAATGCCCTGGTGACCGATGTGACCAGAGAATTGGTGACCATGATATAGAATGTCCCTTCCCAGGATGGGATGGGCCAGTGCTTGACAACTCTGTCAAGTGAAAGAAAGAAAGGCAATAATCTGTGGTTACCAATCAAGGACCCCAAGGACCCCATTGAGGGAGAGGTACTAGGGACAGAAGTTCTGGGCCCGGAGGAGGTAGGACAGAGGAAGTCTTGCTGAGTCTTCCTTCTCAAGCTCACACAGTGATTCAGTGTTCATACTGGGACAGCCCTCTGTATGCACGCAGTCTTCTCTGAGTTGTCACCCTATTCTGTCACCCATACTCCCCCCTGTATAACCGAACTGGGTGCTGTAGGCATTATGGTCCTGTTGTCTTTGACTAATTCTGCCAGTCACCAGATCCTTGTCCCTGAAGCCTAGAAGGAGAATCTTTGATAACCAGAAGAGCCTTCTTCCAAATACTTTCCAGTGACTGAGTGTGCTGCCTCCTGTTATTACCCAGGGCTCACCACTGCCCACTGTGACCTGGAAAAAGACAGCAGCAGCATCAATGGCTGGAAAACCATCACCAAGAGCAAAAATTATCTCCAATTCCTCATTAGCAACACCAAAAGTTCTGCCTATGGAGAATATCAGATCTTGCTTCAGAATGTGTTTGGGAACACACACTATACTGGCTTCATGCTAGTAGCAGATACAGGAAGAGGCCTGAGGATGTGTGGTACTGCCACTACTACTTACATGTGGACAGAGGCGGGGTGTGGGGGTAATCCTCGCATACTTTCCGTGCTTGTGGCAGGTACAGAGGGTGGCAGAGGCCATTTGCAGCCACCCTTCTAAGCTCTGTGTAGCTCCCCACCGCTACTTAAGCAACCTAAGGCACAACCTTTACGGGCGAGCAGACAGTGAAGGCTTTATCAGCCTTTGACTGTACAGAGGCTTTTGTACCCTCTTATCTCAGAGTCCTAAAGCCCTGGAGACATTGACCCTTGTTTCAGATTCTGTGGTTGCTCATATCTGATGAGATAAATGAAGCATAAACAGAGTAAAATCTGCAGGGACAGGGGCGGAGATGGGGTGAGGAACAGGAGGTGCCAGTGGAGAGGAATCTGCTAAAAATTAGACTGACCTCTTAACAGAGGACTGGGAGCTTTCAATAAAGGTCTGAACAGCCCCAAGAACAAAAAAGGGTGAACCTTTATTGAATATTGACTACATAGTGGTCACCTTACTCCTTAACCCTGTAAAATGAGCAGCCATTGTTACTCTTTCAAATGAGGCAATGGGTATCATAAACTTGCCAAAGGTCACAATCTATTAAATAGCAAAGTAACACTCCACAAACAGGCTTTTCTGACTCCAGGACATCTGCTGCCTACCACTCACAGAAGGACAATGTGGCATTCCATCTTCCAACAGGCTGACAGGTGGCCACAGTAAAGGCTCACCTCTGTCCCCAGAGTAGCCAACAAACCTCCAGTTCCTCCAGATTTCCAGACCTCCTGCAAACCTACAGCTATTTGAAGAGGCCCCCAACACAGTGACTCTGACCTGGAACCATAATCCTGAGCTCCAGGAAGATGGTGATGCTCACTATGTCACCTGAAGAGGGATGAAAGTAGCCCCCACCTGGTTCACTGCAGCTGTGTGTGCCCTCAGCAACAAGTACATGGTGGCACAGCAGGAAATGCTTCTTCAGAGTGGTGGCTCAAAATGAAATGTGTGACAGTGACCCACTGTACTCCATGGATACCTGGCTTGCCAATAAGGACCAGAGTGAATACAGGACTGGAGGGCTGAGTGGTGTCAGGAAGAATCCCTGATGGTGACAAGGACACAGGGTCACCAAAGGGTACCCAAGAGTTAAGATCAAAGAACCGAGAGATGGGTTATCATTTGTGAGCCCCTTAAGAATCTCCTCAGAGATGCTTTGAGTGACAGATTGATACAGAGGTGAAAAGGTACCCTTAGGGGCCCAGATAATAGTGAGAGGAAGGACGATTAAAGAGCCAATTTGAAGCCTGCTATAAAGAGAGGGACCGGTAGGCATGAGGGCTGAGAAACAGCAGTTCAGTCTGAAGAGATAGAGATTAACATCAGGAAGCTAGAAATGAGGACTAAACGGGGCAAAGAGGAGATCTTAAAAGCTGAGTTGGCACAGAAAAGTGTGGAGGAAGAATTCTAGGCTAGGCTAAAGATCTGAGAATACCAGGATCCAAGAAGTAGGTATAGGGAAAGGCTCTAGACTCCCTTAGTCTAGGAAAACATAAAAACCTGTGAGCCTGCTTCAGCTAGTCAAACCCTGGAGTAGCTGGGGCCACTGTGAGTGTACAAGAATTCTTAAGAACTGTGTGCATGGGGCATACACCTTTAGTTCTAGCACTTGGGAGACACAGGCAGGTAGTTTTCTGTGAGTTTGAGGCCAGCCTGGTCTACACAGCAAGGTCTAGGCCACCCAAGACTTTATAGTGAGACTCAATAAAAGAAGGGAAGGAGGGAGGAAGAGAGAAGGAGAGAGGAAGAGGGAAGGAGGGAGGAAGAGGGAAGGAGGGAGGAAGAGGGAAGGAGGGAAGAAGAGGGAAGGAGGGAAGAAGAGGACAGGAGGGAGGGATAGAAGGAGGGAAGGAGGGAGGAAGGGGAAAAACGAGTAAAGAAAGTACACAGCTGAGCATCCCATAATTGCTAGCACCTGAGAATACAACCCAGGTCTTCTAGGTTCCATTGAAACAGCTCCAGGGTATCTTTTGAGCTCTGAGATGAAGGTGGCTCATAGTGCCCATCCCCCCCATGCACTGAGAACCTGAGCACCAAGCTGAAGTCCGATCATCAGGACTGGCACCATGCATCCCACTTTCTGACCCTATTCAAGCCACTCACTGTGGTCTGTGACCAGCACTACACCATGACTGGCACCTTCCGTGGCTCACGGCGCTATCCACAAGGGTGATGTCAACATCAGTGTCCAAAGTTCTGGCACAACTTCACAGGCAGCATACGTAAAGCGGTCATCCCCCACCTATGCACTAAAGGATAGCAGTGAGTATTGTGTGTTGCTAATGAACTAGGCAAGAACCATAGAAGCGCCATGCTGTCATCCATTCTGTCCATGGGCAGGGGCTAGAGCTGTTTTTTATTTAATCTGCCGTCAAGTGGTACAAATATTCTCCCATCTGATCAATGGCATATACAATGCTCCAGGCACCTGCAGATGTGGGAGTTCATGACAGACCCCTTGCTAAACTGTGACAGCACACACTGATGGGCTGAGACTCACCTTTTAAAAAGATATTGGCTATCGAGTTTAAACCAGATTGACCTGTCACAATTTATCCAGCAGGGTTCTGCACAAAATCTGTACCGTTTACAAATTTTCTCAAGTGGTTTTGGTATGCATCAATGGTGAGAAGGGCTGGTCTACGGTAAAGGCAGGTGAGAGGCTCAAACGCCAGGAAGACTGGAGGGGACCACTGCTCTCACACAGGCCTGCCATGCTTTTGCTTGTGATGTGCACGCTTGAGGAGATACTTGATTCCTCACCAGCCAACATCCTTCATAGCTACATGGCTAGCAGTGTGACCCCTCCAAATGTAAAGCTAACCTGCCACGCTTGGTTGTTAAAATTCCTCCAACCTTCTTCCAATCCTCATGTTCAAATCCCAGCATCCTGTTCTCCATCAGTTTCTTGCTCTCTCACTCCCTTAAACTCTCTGTGGTGTGTGTGCCTCCATGGTTGTGGTCTCCATAGTTACAGATCTTTGTTTAGCCAGTTAGAGATGATGTCTTTCCTTGGGGGCTAGAGTATCCCACTGCTCTGTCTCTCAAGTGCTCAACTAAGTATATAGCACTAAGAAGATACGGCTTCCAGAATGACTGATGAATTGTGTTCAGAACTAAGCCAGGAGGAGATTGGCAGGGTGCGGATAGGGAAACAGCTCTCATTCCACACCCAGAGATTCCCTGAATCACTCTAGTTTTAGGGACATGGATTAGGGACAAGATGCCACTGTTGCCTAACCAGCCTGTTTCCTCACCTATTGGGTTATGAGGAAGTGTCTAACACAATTCCTGGAAAATACCAAGTGTGATCGGATGGCAGCTTTTGATCTCATAGCTAATCCAGCTTGGGAGACATAGGGACCAATTTCTATGTAGCAGCGCTAAGTCCATCAATTCCGGATCTTTCAGGAGCAGTAATAGATATCTGCTTTGATCTTTCAATGCCAAGTCTAGTCTAGCAAGTCATGTCTAGCATCAATCACTGAGAATCTTCAGAAAGCAGAGCATCTCATACCAGCTCCAGCCGAGAGCTGAGCATCGGCTGTGATGGGGGCTTCTCAGCGAGTCTGCCTTCCAGTACCTGTCACTGTACTGTACGTGTGCAGTGACAGTGCAGAACAAGAGACTCCCTGAGCTCACCCTCCCTGCTCCTGAGAGCGGGTGGAACAGGAACCATGGGGATGAACACACACAGAGTGGACCGGCTCCAAACCCACCCACAGGAAGTCACCCTGGGGCTTCCCTTCCCTCTTCACAACTACTCTCAACCCTCACCGGACCCTCAGAGCACAGAACACAATTGGCCGACTTCCTCCCTTTCCCTATCCTGCTCTCTCTCATTTCTTCACACCATGCAGATCTGTGGTCAGCATTCCAGAGTTTAAATGGATCAGGACCTTGCTCCCTCAGCATCCAGCCGTCCTCCAATGGAAGCAGTGAGGAGCTGCTCATCCAGCTTACTGGTTTTAAACATATTTTGCAGTAGAATGATCCCTGGATTTTAAACTAGAAGCTTGAAGTGAGGGAGGGTCCCTGAACCCTGCTCCTCCCTGTATTTCTTTGCTCTCTGTCCCCATGAGAGGTCTCTATAAAAACTTTATTTTGGGTCTAGCTTAACAGCTCATAGCAATACACAGCTTACTAGTAAAGAATAATTTTAGCATGTGAAATGACTTGGGATTGATCCCCAGTACCAAAAAGAACAACCAATGTTTGGAAAGGAAAAATTCATTCAGCACCCACGAGGTTTGGATCTCCCATATCACATCCCCCAAAGGCACAGCAAATATACCAATGGCCTTTTCTACTTCAGGAGCAGGGCGCTGCTTGTTAAAATCCGAATGCCTCTGGACTAAGGTAGAACAATATCCTACCAAGGCTTCAGGCCTAAACATCAGCTATCCTAATTCCATTCCCACTCCCACCCCCCACCTTCCCAACTATAGAAAATGAGTCTGCACCATTCAGAGAAGCAGCAGATCTGGGCTGGGGAGCGGGGAGAGGTAATGCAGAACTGGAGACACTGCAGAGCTAAGGGTCACCAAGACTGCTGGGCACCCGTACACAAGGGATTATGTCCAGGACAAATGCAGAACAATGCCAAGACACTACTCGTCCCCCACCCTTCCCCTCCTGACTATAATTACACACACACACACACACACACACACACACACACACACACAGAAGTGAGACCCACTGAAACAAGTACAAGTGTCAGCACAGCCAGGGAGCCAACCTAGTGCCAAGATGCCTGAGCCAAGATGACTCTGACCCAAGCTGAGGACAACCAAGGCTCCTGGCACCATGCCTCCACCCCCTGTCTGGGACAGGCACGTGCCACACAGGCAGACAAGTCAGGAAGCCAGTGGCCCTTGGGTTTTTATTTTATTTTATTTTTTCACATGGGCAGTAGAGGATGGAGTTACCCCATCCTTGCTCCCTTGCATTGACTGTGCCTCGGGTCTCAAGACCCTAAAGTGTCATTTAGAACTCACTCCCAGAGCAGGAAGGAAGCATTGTTGGTATGCCAGGGGAGGGTCCTGGCTCTGAGTCAGGTTAAGCACCCCTCAGGAGCTCTCTGAGGCCTGCCACTTTAAGTCTTTGAAGACAGCAGGACAATGACATATAAATGGAGCCTGGCCCCTTCCTTTGGCATGGTCCACCCTAGCCGTGACTGGACAGAGACTAAGGGTGATGGCATGAGGCCTGAGCTGGCCCGTGAGAGAAAAAGGACCAGTCTGAAACCTTGGTACCCTCAAGCTTCCAGACCAACCAAGTCCCTCTACTACTTCTCATGGACAGACATCCATACACTGCTTAAGACTGTTGAAGTAATGAGGCTGGAGACGGAAAACTAGACTCCACCTTCAACCAGTCTTCCCAGTCGGGGAAGCCTGGGGAAGGAGCTTTTCAAACCCTGCTCCTGGGTCATCTTGGAAGAGAAAAGGCGGGAATGGAGGGGCCTGGCACTGCCATTGGTCCTAGGCATAAGAGATAGTCACACTCTTGCATCTAGTAAAAAAGAGGGAGGGTTCAAAAAGCACCATCACCTTCCAGGGCTTTGATAGTCCTGATGGGGTGAGGAGATGTCTACCTCTGACTCAGGTGAGGGATACGAGGCTGTCTCTTTGAGCTCTCTGGGTCATCCTGGACTACCAGCTTTCCTGCGAGCTCCTTCAGTTTACTCCCTTCAGGCCTGCCATTTTCCCAGAAGCTGCCTGCTGTTCCAACTCCTGCACAGGCCCAAAGTCTGGGCCCCAGCCCCAGGAGAAAGGTGAGCAGACCCCAGTCCCTTCAGTTGGCCTTGCTCAGTCTGTAGTGTTCCACTGGCTCTCGGCTCTCCACAGCTGACAGGGCGATGAGCATCTGAGCAGCATAGTAAGTGGACATGATAAGCGCCCGAGAGTAGGGCACGGGAAAGCAGAACTTGTTGAGAGCGATGGTCAGGTCTGAGAGGATGAAAAGCAGAGCGCCACCTCCAGCCGCCAGCTCCGTCCATCGCCAGGCTGCCCCAACCAGCCGCACCCCTGCCATAGCTCTCCAGCCCATGAAGCTGATAAGGGCCACATAGACCCCCACCAGGTAGGTGAAAGCACCTGACAGCCCCGGGTAGAGTACCGCATAGCACAGGCCCGACAGCACTCCAATCACCAGGCCTGTCCGCAGAGCCAGTGGCCGCATGCCAAAGGCCGAGGCATAGAGTATGTGTGCCACAGCAAACATCAGGAGACCTGAAAGGGAGAGAGGATAAAGAATGCTAAAGGAAGGTTCATGACTAATGAGAAGGGGACTTGGGATAACCCAGCAGCTTTGCTCTGGGACTAAGAAGGGGTGAGAAGAGCTATAGTTTTAAACTCACCCTCTAATGCTCTCCCTTAAAGAACTGATCCTCCTAACAGAAGAAGACCAGAGTCTCCAGCCTCAGAAACTCTCCCACTCCCTGTTCCCTCTTCCAAAGCCTCGTCCCACCCCCACCCCAGGACCCTCTTCCCTCCAGCCCCAGGTACCCTCCCAGGCAACTCCTGTAACTACTGACCATGTTCAAAGTACCCGTGGTCCTGCCAGATGAGGAAGGCATCACCCACAGCAGAGAAGACGAGTCCCACAAAGATGAGGGCGGCACTGGGGTGGGCCAGCAGGAATCGAAAGCCATGGGCCAGCAGAAAAAGCCAGAGGCAGAAGATGGGCAGGCACTTAATAAGGGCACTGAACCAAGATGGGCTGGATGAGGGCAGCCAGAGCACAAAGTACACGCAGGTGGCCTTAAAGAAGGGCACGAGTTTGGGTCCCTCACTCTTCACCTGGAGGAGACAGAACAAGAACAATACTCAGAGGTTGGGGACACAGTGGGATCTAAAACCCTACTCCTTTCCCCAAGGCTGCAGTGTATACCCCAGCCCTATACCACTGAGAACAAAGAGTTCTGACAGAGAAACCTAGCCTGTCTGGCTCCAAGCAGCCACCAGGACGTGAAAGCCATTATCACCCTGAGGCTCAATTTACCAGGACAGGCAAGGGCTCCACTGTCCTGTCACTCTGATCTACTCTAGGTCCTGGAACTTGGCCAGAGTTGTCCCTCACTGAACCTACAGTGCCAATTAAGATATTTCCTTCTGCAGCCTAGCATCGTTCCATCCTGTATTTCTCCTCCCCCTCCTACAGGCATTCCTTGCCACCTTTCCCTGTCAGCCTGAGCTCCCAGCTGTGCAGAACTGCAGTAAGGTCAGAGGGAAACCACAGAAATGCACTGACTGACCAACTCATGATCCAAGCTTTAGGGCCAGAACTCAAGCTCAGAGCCCTGGCAACACCAGGTGAGTGCCAGGAATGTAGGAGTGACAGTACCTCCACCCCACGGGCTTTCTGTCCTGCCCAGTATGGCCCCTGACCTTCTGCTCTACCTGTGTTAGACTAAAGGTGGCATCAAGGACAAAGAGAGGTGCTAGGGATGCTGGGAAGAGAAAGAGATCTGTGTTGGGAGGAAAAAACAGTGCTCGAAACGCCAAAGATTTCCAGGGCTAGGAAAAGGGGGTGTTGGCTATTTCTTTCCCAGAGAACAAGAGCAACTTGAGGCACCAGAGACAGGAAGGGGGTGGGGGAGGGCTTCTGATCTGAAGCCAGCAGACAGGCTGGGAGGAGATGGGGAACTGAGAGGGGGAAGTTGGCCAGCTGACTGGGTCTCAGCTGGATTAGGGGGAGGGCAGCTAAAGAAAGGTTTTACTCAAGGCCACTGCAGCCACAGTCTGAGCTGGGGGAGGAGATTCTGCAGATGTTCTGTGGTCTCCTGAAGCTCCTTCCCCTAGGTTGCTAGTTCAGGGTTTCTGAGTGTGAACTGGAGCAGTTGGGGTTCCCTATAGACCCACACTCCAACAAAAGTGCTCTGGCTGTGTGAGCAAGCTGTTCCACAAAGGGCTCCGAGGAGACACTTAGATTCCCAGGCTAACAGGTACCTGATGCAACTAGGGAAGGGTAGGAAAGAGACAGATAGTGGGTCCAGGGTACAAGCCTGCTCTTGTTTTTCCAGAGGTTAGAGATGGGAGCAGAGTTTACACTCCCTTCCCATGGAAACTCCCTTATCAGGAATAATCAGGGTGAGGGCATGGCCAAAGAGGAAACCGGAGGGAATGCCCCGCTCCACTTGCCAGACCTCAGAAACACCAACTTTGCCCCGCCCCTCTCCCCCTACTCCCCAGGCCCATATTTCCTAGAAGAAACTGGCAGTGGGTAGTGAAATCATGACAGACAGAGAAGCCAGCCTTAGAAGAGTGAAGAGACAATTCAAAGGTTGGAGTTGAGAAAGTCTGAAAAGGAGGTCAAGTCAACAGAAAGAGGTCCGCCTTCACCTATCGCCTGAACAGCGTCGCTAAGATAGAGGTGTCACCTCCTGCTCCTACAATGTGAAGAGGAAACCAACTTGGGGCAAGATTCCCAGGAGGTCTGCCCCCCTCCCCACCCTCTCGAATGCTTCTCTGAGGGCCCACCACGCAGAACCCTACGGCCTGCAGCATCCAGTCCCGGGCCAAGACCCGCAGACCCGCTCCAGACACTCATGGATCAACAGAGTCACGCTTCCGAGTCACGTGCACAATGTTTTCCTCCCTCCCGCGGGCAGACGGGGGGCGCGCGGAGGAGGGGCGCTACGAGAGTGAGGAGCGAGCAAAGGACCGTGACAGCCGCCGCTTCCCGGGAGGGGACCGCAGCTTCCTCTGCCCCCCTCGGCTGCCCAGCTTGCGGCTGCCTCGTCCCAGGCCCGGGGGGCTCTGGCCGCGGGCTCGCGCGCTCGCGCACTCACCACAGTGACCGGGGACACCATGGCGGCGGCGGCTGCGGCTGCGGCTGCGACTGCTGGCACCCGCCCCGGGTTGCACCGCCAGGACGCACCCAGAGCCAGGTGAGCAGGCGACTGAACAAAGCTGGGGTGAAGCACAATACCTCCCGCGCGCCCGGCGCTCCGAGTACAGTCTGTGAACTCGACGACGTCACCACAAACCTAGCCAATGAGCGGGCCGGAGCTTCGTGTGGGCGGAGCCCGGCTGGAGGCGCCGGCCCGGCTCTTCTGAGCTGAAAAGGAGATCCGCCCACCCTCGGGCGTGGGCGTGGCCTCAGGGTCACGCCTCTTAGAGAGGCGTGCCAGGGCATCCCGGAACGTGAGGGCGACCCCCAAGGTTGAGGAGCCAGCTTGGCTAAGAGACTAGCACACCACTGCCCCGTGAGCACCGCGAGATGCATCTTCTCTTAACAAGGGAACAAAACGCAGATTCTCGTCAACCTTTAAACATACTGTCCAGGTGGACGCAATTCCTTTAAGACATGGCTTTGACAGTATAGTCGCACCTCCCAATGGACACGGGAGGGTCAACACCCAACCTTCAGCATGGTAAGAGATACGTATCCAAGCACACAGTGTACTATATAGACTCGTAGTGGCATTAAGCACGCTTGGACACTTGTGCACTGAATAAATAAAGCTACAGAAAGGGAGCTGTGGATGGACCATCGTCCTTCACAGAACCACAAAAGCCACGTATGGATGAAAGCAAGCAGCAGTCTGTATGTGGACCCCATAACAGTAAGGAGTAAACAAATTACAGGAAGTAGGTTGCCTTGATCACACACCCCACACAGCTGCAACAACAGTGACCAAAGGACTCAAAGGCACGTTTAAAAGTATGTGTTCAGAATTGGGTGGACTGGCAAGGAGTCAAATGGAATGCAATGCAGTTGTGTTTGCTACTTCCATGGCCTTTGCCTCTCTAGCCTAGATCTCCTCAACTGTAAAATGCATGGGTGACCTCTAAGTCTCTGCTCAATCCAGACAAGTTGTGTAGGTGAAGAAGGGGAAAGGTACCTGGTTTCAGGAAGTACAAGTCTATCTAGCAGGCTTCATGGAAATGTAGGTTTCCAAATATATCTGAAAGGGTAGGAATGTGATCTGTGATGTACACCGAGCTTTAACTGTGGTGTCAGCTGTTGGGAAGGCGAAGAACACTGACCACTTCCTGAGATGGGGATACAGAGCACTATGCCGGACCCCAGCCTCGTGCTGGCCAGGGAGAGACACACACTGAACTCTCCAGTGAGCCCTTCCTGGGGTCATTCTCTTCAGTTTGCCTAATTATAATGATGAATGTGTACTTTTAAGAAGATTTCTCTTACCAGGTGGAGAGTGAGTGTAGTTGAGATCAGAGTTGTCAGAACTCCCCAGACATGGTATTACAAGCATCTGTGAGTTGCCTGAAATGGCAGCTTTGCTGGGAGCAGAACTCTGGTCCTCTGCAAGAGCAGTATGTGCTTTTACCCATTGAGCCAGCCATCTCTCCAGCCCCTGAGAATGTAAACTTTATTAGTTGTTCTCAAAAACTGGGACTAGCCAAAATTACTGGAGAAGACTTTTTTTAAAACATAGTGTTGGGCATAGTGGCACACACCTCTAAACCCAGCACTCATGAGGCAGAGGCAGGTAGGTCTCTGTGAGTTTGAGGCCAGCCTGGTCTACAAAGTGAGTCCAAGACAGCCAGGGTTCTGTTACACAGAAGAAAGAAAAAAAAAAGTCAATGACCTGCCTTAGCCCTACTAATTCACCAACTGAGCCTAAATATACAAAATATTTTAGTGTCTGTGTCTTATATATTTAGTATACCTAAATATACAAAAGGTATAAGGTACAAAAGGTAGAAATGTTATTCACAGGATTTTACTACCAGTAGGCAAAGTAATTACATAAATAGGTGGCCCACAAAAACATAGCATCTCTCCTCTGTGCTGTTTCTAAGACTGCCCTCTTGCCCATTCAGAGTTGTTTGTTGTTTTGTGTTGAGACAGAGTCTCACTGTATGGCTCTGGGTAACCTGGAACTCTATGTAAGTTAGGCTGGCATTAAACTCACAGAGATCAGCTGCCTCTTCCTCCCGACTGTTGAGATTGAATGTGTGTCACCATACTCAGTCCAGGTACGTCCTTGGTCCTTCTCTCTGCCCTTTTTAAACTCTAGACTTAAGTACAGTACTTACCAGGACTCAAAACTTCTAGCTGAATTCAGCTGAGAGCCTGTCAGGGTGGGGGGAAAACATGGACAAAGCCCACTTGACCACACTGAGAATCCAGGATCCAGCATTTCTAGAAACTATGCTCATCCCTGGCTAACTCTGGGCTCTCATCCTAAAACCTTGGACCTTTGACAGTATGTCTCCGGACTAATGGCTGATTTGTTACCTAATCCTCATTTGACTCTGCCTGCTTAAACTCACTGAATTTCTGCCCTGCCCTAACCTTATCTTTGAAGACAGGATGCCCAACGGCCAGGAGTTCCTCTTCAGGTGGCTAACTAACCGGTCAGGTTTAAGATCTATTCTAAATGACTGCCCCATGACTTCTGACTTCCTTACAATCCTATGACAGTGGGCTAAATGACACCTCTCAGCACCATGACAGGTGACCAGAAAGAACCATAAATGGAGCAAAAATAGGGGCATCTGAATTCCCAGAAATGTTCTATTCATCCCCAGAAAAGTTGGAACTCTTTCTGTCCTTCATTAGACTATCCCGCCCTTGTTTCTCTCGTCAATAGCTGTAACTTCCTGATGCTCTAGCCATTAGAGCAGCTACTCTGCACATTTATCTTCCATTTCTGTTCTTGGCCAAGAATAAAAATCTTCACTGGTCAGTGAGCATTCCGTTTTATTGTGGATTCCATAACTCCAAGAGGGAAGAGGAAACCAGATATTAGCAACAGTTTGGTTAATCTGCCCACATCTCTACAGGTAGTAATTGATCCTCTTCAGTTAAATGCTGCTGAGCCTTGTCTGACAGACACTAAAAACTGTGCTTTCCCTCAAAGGAAGAACTTATCCTAATTTTATCCATATGGATAATATATTTTGATTCTATTTTTAAATTTCTTCTTCAGCGATTTGGGAAGGTTGTTCTAGGCTTTCTCGGTTCTCTATTCCAGGTAGCAGAGGGGGCAGAGTAGGACTTAATGAAAATTGGCATTTCTTCTTCTCTGTGCCCCAAATGACTTGTCATCTGGTCCTTCTCACACAGCCCTGTTGTCTCCTCTGTACCTGCCTGTCTGAAAGAAGGTGAGCCCACTCGCCGATTGATTCAACCAACAAGTGTATATGTACCAGCTATCATCTTAGATACTGGAGTTATAAATATTGATTAAGATCAGCCTCTGAGATCATGGAGTTCACAAGCAGGCGAGTAAACAGACAGGTGGTGTAGCAACTGTAGTAATTGAGGTATGAAGCTAGGTGTGGTGTCAGAAACCTGTAGTCCCAGATGCTCAGGCAACTCATGTGGGAGGCTGCCTTGAGCCCACACAGTCATGACCAGTATGGTCAACACAGCCTCAAGAAAAAAAATGATAATAATAACTAAGGGGTGAGGGTATGTCTGATGTGACATAAAAGAAGGCATCAGAGTGATTCATTGTACCTGTCACAGTAGAAGGAGGTGGGGCTTATTCTAGAAGAAGTTAGCCTTCGTTGAACAAGTAGCAATAGATACAACTCTCTAAGAAGATGGAGTCAGTTGTGTACAAAACAAGAGACACACTGAATCAGAGACAAACCTGTGGCACTGGGCACTGGGAGGGAGAGGTCGAGTGTGTGAGCTGGAAAGGAGACATTGAGAAAGTGGAGAAGGGCTAAGAGGAGCTAGGTCAGGCAGGGTCGTGACGCTTCTGTTAAGGCATTTAGACTTGGCCCAGTAGATCCAACTGTTTTCTGTTCTTCTCTGCTTGGTTCTGGCTCTCTAGGCCTGGTCCTGACTTTTCCAGAACACATCTAACCAGCTTTCTGAATCTTCACTGCTGGTTTACTCCCATTTAATCTGAAGACCTGGAGAAGAAAGACCGGAAGTGCAACCAAGTCAGATGAAGTATGAGAGTAGGTTGATAAGATTGTTGGGTTGTTTGTCTGTTTATATTTGAGACAGTGCCTTATTATGTAGCTCAGGCTGGCCCAGAACACACTGTATAGACTAGGCTGGCTTACAAAGATCCACTTAAAATCCCAGAGGGATTGAAGGTTTCTACCATCATGATTAAGATTTTTTTAAGAGAGATGAGTGTGTGTCAGCCAGATGGGGGTGTTTGGAAGACACTAGATACCGATAGAGAGCTCAGGTCAGAAATAAAGACCGAGGTCTAGACTTTCTGGTCACGGTCACACCCCGTTCTTTCTTGGGCTTTTGACTAAGATAAAGCATATAAGGAATGTATTAAGTATTACTACTGACAGCTATATGGATTCAACTAACAAATGAAGGGTCTCGATAGAGCAGAAAGGAAATACCAAACCAAGATCTGAGGGACAATGACATTTAAGGGAATGGCAGACAAAGGAAAACATTGAAAGAGACAACCATACGTAAACATATACTGGAGATGTGGCTGGAAAGCTCTGACATACTCAGATACAAGTGTACTCACAGGGAAAAAGATGGGCACAGCTAAACGATATGCACCCCAGAGATGACGTGGGGTTTGTGATTTGGTTACCTCCTTCCAGAACTGGTGACTAATGATGGTCTACTCCTTGGTGGTGTGGCAGAAGCTTAGAAGACGGTGAGCCATCACCCATCCCCATTCCTAACTACGCTCCATGCCCCAAGGTCTCTGTGAGACTCTTCACAGTACTTACCTTTCTGCTTACAGGATCCAACCTAGGGATGCTAAGTCATCTGACGACATCCATTGCGGAATGCCTCTGTTACAGAGACAGGGAGATGAGCCCTGGAGTTAACAATGTAATGCATGGTTCAAGGCAAAAGAATCTAGCAGAGCCTCAGTGGGGGCTGAATTTTGACACTACAAGAGATATTATATGGAATTAAAAGTGGTCTACTAAAGATGTTCTGGGCTCTGTGATTAGACTCTGGACTTGGGGCCGGACACACCTTGGTTTAAGTCCGGGCTCTTCATGTACTGTGTGCCCTTGTCAAATTGT